AGCCGCCGCCCGGCCAGACATGCCAGGAGGGAGGGAGCCTTGGCTGGACCCAGCCCTCTCTCCTCCACGCACCCCTCAACAGCCCTGTGCGCCTGTTTACAGACGAGGAGACTGAGGCTCGGGGCGCACCGCCGCCCGGAATCGCCGTGCCGGCCACAGGCGTCCCTGGAACCTCTGCTCCTTCCCAACACCGCAGAGGTGTCGCCTGCCAGACTTTTTTTTTCCTTTGGTTTGAGAAAGTGGGGGCAGGTGGCCCCTCTTTTGAATCCTGCAGGCTTCTTTTTTTTTTCTTCAGTTAAAGTATAACTGATTTGTAACATTGTGTTAATTCCTGGTGTGACATTTTGAGTGTCTCCTCAAAACCCTTGCCTGAGGGCATGTTGAGAGGGCAGAAATACTCAGCTTGAAGAGGAGATGGTTTCCAGAGACCTGACTGGTGTTGGTCCAGGAGGAAGATTAGCGCCTATGCGAAAAATCTCCCAAATCACCACTGTCTGTCTCCCTCCTCCTTTCCTCCCCATTTAGTACCATTATTACAACACTTAACAACATAACCTGATTTATTCATGAGGTCCCAAACGTGGCCTGTTCTGGACTAATCCTATTTCCAAACTAGCTTGAAACTCAAAAGAAAACAATGGAAAAAGAAAACAAAACCCTTGGTCTCGCCCCAACAAAAAATATTTGCACAATTGATTCAAACTTTCCAAACATAAACATTGCTATTGTCCCAAACGAGCAAGGGCAGGTGCTGTTCCGGACATCTCGTCTCCTCACAGTCCCCATCACGCTGGGCGGAGGCACAGTCGGCGCCTGTGACTTCTGACTCACAGCCCAGGAGCCACAACCTTAGCAATCAGCTTTGGTTCCATTGTTTGCTTTCTCGCCTGTTTAGATTCTCAGACGAAAAACGAGCAGTCTGTTGTGGTCACGGTCTCTTCTTTCGTTGTTGTTATAAAACAAGGGAAGGTTTCTTCCACTCATGCGTTCATTCAACAAATATTTATCAAATGGACTGTCCCGCGTGCTGGGGGCAGTGGTGGAAGAAACAGATAAGGTCTGTGCTTTCAAGGAGCTGCATTCGGGGTGAGGGGACAGCTCAGGGGCAGAGCGCGTGCTTAGCGTGCATGAGGTCCTGGGTTCAACCTCCTCGTTCCTCCATTAAAAAGCAAGAGCCAGAAGGAGCCGCGTTTGATTGGGGTGTCTCAGGAGAGACTGGGTGGCGCTACAGTAACACGCTAGTCTCGGGGCATCTGCAGTTCACGTGACGGGGGCTCTGTCAGCCCCCGACTAACGAAGCCCCCATCATCTCAGGCGTGGTGGTCCCCTGAAGCAGGGGAGGAGGATGCAGAGGGGCGCACACAGGTCACCACCAGTCACATCCCGTGGTCCACACCCACTCTCGCCTCCCTGCCCAGCAGGAAGATGAGGAACATCGTTCCTGGACAGGCACTGTCTGCCACGTGGATGGAGAGACAATAAACACATGAATAAGCAGACGAGGAAAGTCCCTGGCAAAGGGGTGCCACACAGAAGACGGGGACCCTGCCGGCATTCAGAGAGGACCAGGTGAGGAGCTGGCTGAGGGAAGGTAGGTCCGGCTCCCCTTGTCACCGGCCCCTGAGAGCTACCCTGGGCATGCAGTGACTTCCGTCCCTC